CAGAAGCTGGACACAAAGTCGCCGATGCGAGGTAGAGAGGTATGCCGAGGTTCAGAATCGTGCGAGAGGATAGAATGAGAAGAGAGATGAGGAGATGGTGAATGATATTGTATAGAAAATGGAGAGAGGAAAGATGAGGGATCAATGGGCAAATGAATTGTTGGTGTTACCGTGATACCTGGACACGTTGGGAGAGTAATCATGTTTGGAAGGTACAACCGAGACGCAGATTGGGTAACATCAGGCAGATTAGTGAGAATCAGGGCATCTTGATCTTGTGATGATTACGTTGTAACGAGGCTGCGAGGGAAGCGTGTTTGAATGTTGTGGTGGCTGTAGTAGTATCGAAAGACACGATATGTGGTTGTGTGACGTGGCTGTGCGTGGTGGCGTACTTCGACCTCGTGATCAACTCTAAAACATGGTGCCCAGCTCTCGTACGCCAGGCACCAGGAACGAGCACCTCCAGCTTCTCGCGTCCCCTATTCTTCTCTTCTCCTCTGCAGTCTTTCTTCGCGTGTCTGAAACCTCTGTTTCTTCATTGCTACGGTGATCGCTTTCTGTCGCATTCTACCTGCCCTGCACTTTCACCGCTCCACCGGCGACTTTCCATCGTCGCGTATCAGGCCCGAGTCACGCTCTATCCGCCTTTTGAGCCTTGCGTCTTGATCTACAGCCTCGCAAACGATTCTGAGATTGCGGCTCAAGATCCAACCTCGTTAGATTGCTTGTCCCTTGTACCTGAACTGCGTCGGAACATTTACAGTTCCTAGGACCTGCTATAAAGATTGTGCTACAGTCCAAAGAAGAAGGACTGTACTGTAAGCGATCCAAGAGTCTCCCATCGCCGAACTTCGGTGGCCGGAACACGAAGGGGCAGTGGCAGCTCTAGCGTAGTTGTGACAGCTGCAGACAGCCGCAGTTAAGCTTTGGGCGTCTGCATCGGCGGAGCCACGGAAAAAAAATGACCGTGGATGGGCGAGTAGTCGTCGGGCAGGAGTCGGATGGCTGCATACCATTCGGAAGTGAATACAATGACGCCTCAAAATACATTCGGGCGTCACGAGTACCAAATATATTCTCCGCAGTATACGCATGGCGGAATTGGCGGAATTCCGTACAAGATCAAGACTTCTTTAACGCCGATTTCGACATCTACACGGCTACAATTTTCGCTCTCGTACTCCCTCTCGTCGCAGCTTTCATCTACAGACGTATCAAAATGCAAAACGACGCTTCCTACAACGAACCCTTCCAGTTCCTGGACCTCCCGGCGGAGCTGAGGGAGATGGTATACGAGAACCTGCTCGAGGAACCATGTTACCCAGCTCAACCCCAAACTGCAAAGTCCAGCGCATATTCATTGAGCTCTCTGCTTCCTGGCCGGTGGAGTGGATCGGCTCCTTCCAAATCCTCAGGACCGACGCAAGCCTCCGGACGCAAGCCCTCGAACTGGATCTTCCTCGCCAACAAGCAGGTCTATGGCGAGTTCATGGATCTGCTTGTGAAGAAGAGCACTTTTCACTTCAGCACCTACCCAGATAAGGCCCCTCGGAAAGCCTCGAACGCCTCGAGCCATTACGCGTCTACTGCAAGAGAAGCATCACCTGACACCACATCTCAATCAATGACCCTCACATCAACACCACCATGGTTCATCGCTCCATCCACCCTCACGCGCCTCCGCAACTGCACCCTGACACTAAACGTAACGAGCTCCATGCTCGGCTGCCCCGACCCGCGCGCCATGACCCCAGCATCATGGGCATTCGCGCGCAGCATCAAGAAACAACTCTCCCTCTCCTCAACCTCCTCCATCCAGTCCCTATCGCTCCACGTCAAAGCCATCGGCGACCCGCTCTGGAACCCGCTCTGGGTGTGGTACCACGCATCGCAGAGCTTCAAGTCCATGGGCCGTCTGCGCGAAATCAGATTCAGCCTCGACACTTGGAGTCCAGGGGAGAACCACCTCCGCCGCGACGACGCGTCTTGCTCGTCCTGGTCGCACAACCACTCGCCTGCATCCTCGGTCTCGTCGTCGGGCGCGTCGACGCCGGTCCTGTCGCCGGAATCGGAGATGCAGGCTGAGACGGTGGAGGAGCTGCTGTTGACGCCGTCGTCGAATGCGTCGAACGAGGAGCGCTGGGAGCAAGCGTGTCGGGATGCAGGCGCCAGGTCGTGGTCATGGTATTGTCCGAAGAATCATAGAGTGGCTACGGAGTTGGGGGCTGATGTTACGGTGCGCCAGTTCTGCGCTATGCTGTATCAGGAGTGTTTGGTTTGTCGGCCGGAGTTGGAGGGTAGCGATGGGGAGTGAGTGTTGTGCAGAGGGGTTGGGCTGGTTTTTTTATTCTGCTTTTGGTTGGGTTATAGAAGGGTTCGCATTTGCATATACCGAGTTTGGGTTTCTGTCTTCGCATCTTGTGCCCGCAGGTTTGGGTGGCGATTTGGGCATCGCTGGCGCTGGTTTATGGGGTGTTTCTTTATGTGCGTGGTGTATTCTAGGAAGCAAAGCGAAATGATTTTACATTCATGTGCGATATGCGAGGTTATTTCCACCATGGCGCTTGGATTGATTCAAGAGCCCTCTATATAAACCAATATGTTCCCCAGGCCATGAAACTATGAGGCTATATCAGTCATATATAGCCATAAAATATTGTACCAGAGAACAGAGCTTACAGAAACGACTGCTCATAGCGTGGGGCGTAGAGACATGGAAGTTGGGGTGCGTTTTAGGGCTAGCGAAGCGATTTTGCGAGCCCGCCTTGGAGATCTCTGCTTACAGCACAGAAGGCTGCTTACAAGTTGAACGCTATTAACGGACTGGGGACTAGACTGGCTTCTAGCAATTCTATGTATCCAATTATAGTTGACGTAATGCAGTGCGATGACCTCATACAACTTTTATATGGTACGCCGAGTACTTCCAATTCTACTTACATTAACACCAGTCTTACATCTCACATCTCCCCTCTTTTCTTTTCTTGCAAATGTTGGGCCCTATATTATATATAATTAAGTGTATTTACCAACTCAATACATCCCGATTCGTGTCTGCTCTACGCAGTAGCTACATTGTCAGTACATATCATGTCCACCTCAACGAGCGTCCAGGACCGCGACACCGGGAGCTCAGATCCGGCATACACGAAGCTGAAAACGAATGACCTCGTATGGTACACTGAGGATGTTGAGGGTCAATTGTCGGATGAGGTACTGTTCTCTCCCCATTTTTGCCTAGAAGAAAGTCCCTGGAAGAAATCCACAAACAAGTGTAGACGAAACTTTAGAACGGTCGACTGATATATTCGCGTTTCTGGAAGACAGACGCGTACAAGGCTCGAGACATATAGCAAAATCCCGCCGGATCAGGTGGTGCCGCATATACAAGCTGTTGTACGTATCCCCCTTCTGATCTTTCCTTTCCCTCTCTTTTCCTCTCCTGCACACTAACACTGCCCCTCCACCCCCAGCGCGCCACCCTCTGGTCCCTCCGCGCCTACCCCTGCACCGGCCTCTACGTCTTCCTCACCCCTTGGCTCGCGCACCACTCCTCACTCCCCCACATCATCGCGCACCTCCAATCTCCCCAAACCCAGGACCCCAAATTCCTGGACGTCGGCGCTTACATCGGCCACGATCTGCGCTATCTGCACTGGGCCGGCATCCCGCAGCGCTCCCTCTACGCGCTCGACTTACTCCCGTTCTGGGAGCTCGGGTATCGGTTGTGGAAGGATGAGGATGTCTTCCGATCGACGAATGTGATTGGCGATGTGCTTGATGAGTCCGCCGACAGCGAGGCGGCAAGGGTGTGTGATGGGGGCATGGATGTGGTGTATTCGTCTGCGGTGCTGCATCAGTTTGATGTGGAGAATGGGGTCAGGGCTTGTAAGCGGTTGTGTCGGTTTTTGAAAACTGGGGATGATGGGAAAGGGAAGAGGGGCAGTCTGTTGGTCGGTTGTATTACGGGGAGTAAGGGGGTGGAGGGGCTTGTTGATGTAGGGAGGTTGGGGAAGGGCGGTGCTGGGGGAGGGGATGGGGAGCAGGATGTGAAGAAGCCGGTTAGGCATAGTGTGGAGAGTCTCAAGCGCTTGTGGGAAGGGGTTGCAGAGGAGTTGGGGTGGGATGTTGAGGTTAGGGTTGCGTGGAGGACGTGGGAGGAGTATGGGACGGATCCGCAGAGGTGTGCGTTTATGGGGAGTGATGTTGGGGTTTTGGAGTGGGAGGTTAGGGTTTTGTAGGAGTGGTAGATACTAGCGGAGAGGAAGGGTATGCGTAGTAGAGAGAATGGGGAAGTGAAACCACGCAGTTGAATAATTCGCGTTGAAGCAGTTCTAAGTTAGTGAAGCAGGGCCAGCTCAAGCCTCTTTCTGGGCATATCATTTGAGGCAATCCAGAAAATCTCTTGGTAGCCCTGTGGTACTTCTCAGAGTATTCGGAAACAAGTGTGTTCCATGAGTTTTCAGCTCCGAGCGATGTTCTTGTCGCAGAAGACTTTCCTTTTCTTAGCAAGGTTTGATACCAAGTTTGTCCTTTCAAGGTTTAGAAGGTAAAGTCCGCAGTCTTGTCGTCTGTTACAGCATACAACTCCAGTGTACCATAACGTCCAGATTGCAAAACGAAGGTAGAGAAGGCGAGAGATACCAGACTAAAGAAGGAAAAGCCGCAATTTTAATTTGCAAGATTACCATTGAGTCAAGCGAAAGTAGATACCTGTATCCTCGTAGCATTGGTACTTACACGTTAGGATTTTATAAGTCTTTCTAGGCATGCGACGTCTTTGTTCTCGACACAATTGAGATCGAATCAAGCTAGGTCATATACACTTCTAAAGTCGGTGTGGATCTCCCGTCCTACCCCGCCTCGTTTCCCCTCCTGAATCGCATCGCCGCCCCGCATCCCCTCCAATTACCCCTCCCACCATTATTTCTCTTCAAAATTTAAAGTATCTATACCAACTACGCGGCGCAAAAATATCACAAATCAACTCGATTCAAGTCGCTTTAGCTCACTTGGGAGAGCGCCAGACTGAAGTTCACTTCGGTTGTCACACCTGTGCGGTATCTGGAGGTACTGTGTTCGATCCACAGAAGCGACATTATCAATTCTTTTGGCGATTTTATGTCGCTCTAGATGTACATTCCATGTATACAGCGATAGATAATTTTTTTGTTCTGTAGGGGAGTCCTTTCTGACTTGATTGGTATAGATGGACTTGCGCTCTGTTGTCTTGTTGGAGTCGGGAGGAAACAGATAGGTTTTCTGAGAAAGATAGATTGTGTAAAGGAAGGTATATCCAAGTACTATTGGTTGGGAACGATAGGTATGATGCGATGGATTAGACACAGATCAGGAGGGGGTTCTGACCGTGCTGGAACTTTCACGCTTGCAATCTTCAGCGTTGTGAATGGCTCCGTCACCGTCTTTCATATATCTTTCCTGGTGCTAGACCGTCTCATCTATGTGGTAGCAAACCTTTCGTCAATCATGCGGATAACGGAGAGATATGATTAGATGAAATGAGGTTGTCCCAATCTGGTTGATCAATGCACAGACCAGACGCTCCGGCTAGCCCGTTGAAGCTCCTAGCAGCGAACAACACCTACGTTCATAGTTGAGCAGACGACGCCTTGATTATTCACTCCATTCCTACTGCTTCCCTTCTTGCACGAAGAACATGTAGGAAAGACAGGTCTGTCATTGCCCGATGAATCATTCACCTCTTCTTAGGATGAGCCGAGGCTCGTACAGCCCTGACTCGGGTCTTATTGGTCGTTCCTTGGATGTCTACGCTTGGTCGCCAACACCTACTCAACTCAATTTTCTCAAGATTTGGCCTACATCCCTCTTAAACCAATTAAGTCATTGAGTATAGTCTACTACACAGGCCAAACATGGCAGACTCCGACGTCCACCTCCAGGACTTCTCCACAATCTTCTCCCTCGCCAACAAAGTAGCCGTCGTCTCCGGCGGCTCACGAGGCCTCGGTCTACACGCCGCCTCCGGCCTCCTCCAATCCGGGTGTTCCAAAGTCTTCATCACGTCTCGCAAAGCCTCAGCCTGCGAGGAAGCCGTCGCGGCGCTGAACGCGCTGCCCAACAAAGCTCCCGGCGCGCGCGCGTACGCAGTACCAGCTGACAGCTCGCGAGTCAGCGAGATCGAGCGGCTGGTCGAAGAGGTAGGCAAGCAGACCGACCACGTCGACATTCTGTTTGCGAATGCGGGGGCGACGTGGGGTGCGTATTTCGATGATGTGGAGGAGAGGAATGGGTGGGATAAGGTTATGAATTTGAATGTCAAGGCTGTGTTTTTTAGTATCCAGAAGTACATCTCTCCCGCACCATCCCATCTCATCCCAATTCCCCCTTCCTCCCGGGTTGATTACAAGATGAATGAATGAACGGTACGCTAAATTGCGCCTAGATTTGCGCCTCTCCTACAGAAACGCGCAACCATCGACGACCCGTCCAGAGTCATAGTAACCAGCTCCGTCGCCGGCATCGGCGTGGGCTCCATGGGCGAAAATGCAGCGTATTCGTACTCAGCCTCCAAAGCAGCGGTGCTTCATCTCGCCCGCAACCTGGCCGTGGAGCTCGGACCACGCCATATCCTGGTGAATGGGCTTGCACCGGGCTTCTTCCCGACGAAGATCGCGAAGGTGATTTTGGAGAGGTACGGTGGGGAGGAGAAGATGAGTAAAGAGAGCCCCAATCAGCGACTAGGACGGCCGGAAGATATTGCGGCGGCGGTGGTGTATTTGTGTTCGAGGGCTGGGGGGCATGTTAATGGGAACACGCTTGTGATTGATGGGGGGAAGATTCTGGGATCGACTAAGCTTTAGGGGCCGTATGTGGTCTTCTTATACAATCTCCAGAAGTGTTCTTATTCATAGCTGATGCTGAAGTCTCATCACACTTCACCGGTGGGAATGCTCATCCCATGCCTCCCGCTGTACCCACTGCGTTCCGGCTCCTTCCAATCCCCCAACACCTCCCTCTTAACATCCTCCTTGATATCCCAAACCTCAACCTTGATCGGCCGACACGTGCTCTTCATATCCGGCTTCTCCGCCACATCCCCTTGCGCCTTAGCCTCTCCACTCCCCTCCTCCGCCTGACTCCACCCCCATGCACTCAGATCGCCGCCGGGACACGTGCTCAGCGCACAAAGCAGATCCTGCTCGGCGAAAAACGTAATGAATGAGTCCTTAGTCGCAGGCGACGCTTCCATGAAATAGCGGCCTTCAGCGTCGAGGCCCGTGACCTGGAAAACGTTGAGGACGTCGTGGATGTCGAATTCGGTGAGGCCGTAAGGCAAGACGGCGCGGACGAGGTTGGAGTGGCAGTGGTAGTCGTAGTTTGCGCCTGTCAGCATGTGGGAGACTGGACATGCAATTGTCAGTACTCGATTATGTCTGCCAATCCGTCTCGGCTCTCCCTCCTACTTCAAGCCAGTTCCCGATTTTACAGATTTCACTGTGAAGACTTAGATCGGTAGTAGGATTATGATACGTACCATAAGGATCACACCGCGTCCCCAACAAATCATGACACCTGCCTCCCCATCGCGTAACACCACCCCGTTCCGTCCTCTTCACCTCTCTCTTTTCCCCCTTCCCATCTCCCTCCCTCTTCTCCCCATTACTCCCGCCCTCCGCATCCCCCAACAGACACCCATCTTTCACCACCCCACACAACGGCCTCATAAACGGCAAACAACTCCAAAGGCGATCCCCCTCTTTCACATGACTCCCCTGCAACTGCTTCGTCCTGCTCGCCCAAAATCGCTCTCTCGAATCAGCTCCATTCCAGATATTCAGGTCGCCGACCTGCGCGCCCTCGGGTGTTGAGAGGCGGAATAGCGAGCCGGCGGGTACGCGCCAGGCGTAGCCGCTGCGGGGCGGGATGGTGTGGGAGAGTGTTTGCGTTAGGGAGGTGGCGGGGAGGGAAGATAGGCGTATGTAGAGGGCTGTTGGGGGGTGCAGGGGGGAGGTGGATGATACGGGGAAGTAGGCTGGGGCTGGGGGTGTGTCCTGGGGTGGCATATTGGTGAGTGTAGATATGGGAGGCTGAGAATGGGAGGGAGGGAGTTGAAGGTAATGAGAACTGCGGTAAGAACGGTATTGGGTATAATAGTAGACTATATCAGTGGAGTAATAGCTCTAAGAAGATAGGGATGTATTAGTTTGTAGCGGTGGGGAAGTGTAGATAGGTAGGTGCCGCGGATAAGCGCGCTGATGCCGATGTCGGCAGGACCGATGTTTTGTGACCATGACGAAGCTTCCAAGGTTTGCAATCGGGTTCCTAATCGTGCCAAACCCCATGATCAATTTTGAGCATGTCTGAAAAAAAGTTCAAGATGCCGATATCGTCGGGGAAAATGTATGAAATGACCAAGATTCCGATGTTGAAGCTCGGTTGGGTATCGTGAAATGACCACCACGTAGTCGTTCTATCATTTGCCTTCCCACACTTGTAACAAAATTCGCAGAGCGCTGAGCATTTCTCCTTTCCGCTTATCGCTGCACCAACTGCCTTCAATACCTGCTCTGCATACGGTCTCCCATTCCTTGATGCTTAGATCATGTGCTTCGTGGACGGCGCAGTAGTTATCGAGGATATAACCACCAAAGTACGCCGGATCATCGCTGTTGATGCTGAACCGCACGCCTGCGGCTAGGAACTTCCTAATTGGCACTTCTTTAACAGATTTAACACAACGCAAGACCACGTTGCTGATTGGACACACGGAAAGCATGATTTGTCGCTCTGCAACCTCCTTCATCAACTCAGGATCGTCTGCAAGCCGGATGCCGTGATCTATGCGCTCGATGCCGAGATTGTCAAGCGCGTCTCTGATGTATTCAACTGGTCCTTCCTCCCCAGCATGAGAGGTCAGACGGAGCCCGCGCTCACTCGCTTTTCCGTAAAGCTCTTTGAACAGGTTAGGCGGGAAATTCAATTCACTAGAGTCCAGCCCGATGCCCTTGACGGTCCCGTTTTGGTAGCTCTCTTGCACGTCTGGATGGTGAAACATGGCAAGCGAGTCGGCGACAGGGAGGTGGCGGAGATAGCATGCCGTCAGGATGGTAGTGATTCCCAGCTCCTTCTCTGCGCGCTCGCACGCTGCCTGGAAGCCAGTGACGACGGTAGCATAAGACACGTCGCGGGACACATGGGCTTGTGGGTCGAAGAAGACTTCGGCGTGGTGCACGCCGTCTGCCGAAGCGTGCTGGAAGTAGTCCCAGGCTAGGGCCTCAAAGTCGGCAGAGTGTATCAGAGCGGACATTCCAATGTAGTAGTATTGGAGAAAGTCATCGAGGGAGGTGAAGTCTTTGTAACGAGATAACAAGGCGTCGGGCGAAGCGAACGCTGGGTCACCTTGTGGCAGAGTTATGCTGTTCTGCTTGGCGAGTTTGAAGAGGAGTGCCGGCGACAATGCGCCTTCCAGATGGATGTGGTGCTCGCATTTTGGAAGGCGTTTGAGAAAGTCGTGGAGAGGTGATTGGCACATGTTACGTGAAGGCCGTTTCCGAGGAAGTTGTCGCAGTAAGTTGCAGCCCTTTGTTGGCAAAAGATAGAAAGCGAAACTTCACGAAACGAATCTTGCTAGTACTGGACTTGAGGAGGCTACCGAAAATGAAAATGAACAATACTTGACCGACAAAGTGTCCAGATGGCAGATGCGCAGAGTGGGAGGACGGATAGGTGACTAATGGCAGGTGTAAACTGAGGAATGCTCTCTAATAGCGGATGACGAGTCCGCGACCCACTCAGATTAGTCTTTGACCTCCTTCTAACGGGGAGCTCCGATCATTGGAGATGGAATGAAAGCGTGAGGTTGAGTTAAGGTTGAGGCCGTCCTTCTCCACGCCGCCACGTTGGGACCTCGTACAGAGACACTGCCAAAAGCGCTGTCACCGCTTGTGCAACGTCTGGTCTGTCCTACCAGAGAGCAGAACGTGAAGCCGCACCGCGCAGGCAAACACAAGCGTACACGCGTTGGATCGAAGGTTTGTTCTTTCGGAGCTCGCCTGACTGCAAAAAACTAGAGGGTACCTCGGGGAAGGAGCCGAAACGTCTTATTCGCCGACCCCA